GTGTGTGTGTATTCCTCAGTTCCAGAATTCTTAACACAGGTTATCAATTCTTTATATATCAGATATAGAACTAATTATGTGAAACAAACTTTCTAGCCCCTCACTTTTCCTTTATAAATTAAAAGCTGAACAGTTTTTGTTTGATATCTCTTACCAATCTTGATAAATTGATAATCAAAAAGGCATAATCACAGGTCAAATTGTATTGAATTTACATCTATACCTAAAAAAGTATTTTACTTTACTTAAAAAAGAAAATTCAAATTTTCATATAAAAAACAGAAAAATCACTCACAATGAAGATCTGTCAAATTTCACAATTATTTTATTATTTCATTACCATTCTGTGTAAGTTTAGTTGAGCAAAGCAAAGTATGAATTTCAAGTGTTTCTCTGGGGCTACGGGTAAATGGTTGTCCCAGAACAGAGGTAGGGAATGGTGGTGGAGGGATCACTCCAGCAGAAGCAGACCCACAACCTTGGGTGAAGCCAACTCCATCTTTTGGTCCAACTGGTAGTGTAAGATAAGCCTTTGGATCCTGTAGTTTAATCCTATCTTCACACTGCACAAATGAAAATACAATTTTACTTACAATAGTACTAGATACAAGGGTGTCATATATAAAATATACAAACACATATATAAGTGGTTGGTCTACTTATATATACATAAATGCCTTGAAATGAGGAGAACACATCAGATGAAAAAATTATACCATTATAACGATCAAAAGTAACTTACTATGTATGTTTAGCTTTTAACTATCAATTAATTATTTCATAAAAAATGAGGGGAATTTTTTACCAATGATTTTGAGTGTGTGCAAAACAATCAGTTAATATGCAAATAACTGTGAAATTACAATTACTTTGGGAAAAAACAAAATGACCTTTGGAAGCAACCAGAATACAAAAAAGCAGATGGAATGATGATAGGAAATGAAGTATCTCTGGGCTACTTCAAATCTGCAAAATTCTGGGTAGTTACTATTCATTAAAGACAATGTTTTGCCTATATAGCTAAGGAGGAACAATTTATATCAATGAAAATTCTTGAAATAAACTTTCTTGTACATGCTGTTCTAATCTCTGTTTAATAAATTTAATTGAAATAATTAAATCTTCCAAATTCTTATTCTTTTTTATATATATATACATATATTTCTGTCAAAAAAAAAGTTAACACTTTTCATAGCACTAATAAATTTGCAAAAGATAAAAAAAGCCAATCCAATTGGCTAGGAACACGTTTTTTTAAACTGTACTACCAAAGTGACATGCATGTTACAGTAGTTTGAATAGAAGTTTGCACACAGATTATAAAAGCAACGATTTACACAAGTGAATAAAATGCAATCATTTCATAATCACTTTCTTCTTATTGAAAGTACTCAGTATCTACTTCAATTTACCTTATAAATATACAATTCATGGTTTCCATTTCTGAGAATGGCTCCATGCTCATCCATCAACTGTATGAAAGAAAATCCTAACAGTTTCTTCTCTTTATCTCTTGCTGCAAAATTAACATACTTTGTTGTATCACTGAACATACTGCTGTAATATCAAAAGGTTAGTAACACTTCACAAATCACAATTATATTTATTCAAGAGTGTTTTCATAAAAACATATATATATGTACACACACACATATATATATTGTCCATACCTTCAAAATAACCAAAATAAAATTTGCTACAACTAAAATCTAATTTTTAATACACATAGAATCAACATCAGGTAATCTATGTGAACGTAGGCAATACTCACTTCACATGGTTTATGACTTTAATGTTAACATTTAAGAATAAACAAAAACAAAAAAAAATAAAGGAATATAAAATCTATTCATAATTTACTAATATTAATAATTTCATATTACTACAGAATTTTTTTATTTTCAGAAGGTTTCCTGGCCTTATACTACAAAAGAAATAAAACAGGTACTTTACTTTACAAGTAACTAACTTACTTGAACAGTGACGATATTCTATCCGCAGATGAGCAGTGTCAAACTTCTCTATTGGAATGGCAAGCTAAGTAAAAGTATACACAGTATTGAAACTAATTAAATTGAAATTAAATTCCTATATAATAAGACATCTTAGATAACTTAAGACATAATTTCTATCTTCAAAATTTTCAGATATTATTAATAAAAAAAGCTTAAAATTTTACCAAATAAGTTTACAATTGTACAAAAAGCTAAATGTCTAGACAAGGCATAAGCATACACTGCACAACCCAATGTAATATTATAGTTATGACAAGGCCAATGTTATTAAATAATACCAAACACCCTCCCTTCGTTTCTTTCTTACACAAATCAGGTACTGATTATCAGACATGTGATCTGAAATGCTAATTATTGGTCATTCAGCATCTACTGTATAATGTAGATTCATCCAGTCTTGCCTCACTACCACATAAAATGCTCCAGCTCTTTCAGACATAATGGATAAACCTCAAATAAAACATCTAGGTATTTCACTAACAGGCAGAACTACTGGAAAAATGGAAGCTGGTCAATCTAAACCTGGGCTCAAATGAATCAAAGTGTTCTTAACAGAATGTGGAAATGTTTTCAAAGAAATAGTATAATCACTCAGACACATGGACAATGTAGGCCATCCATGACACAAGGAGATGACTGCAATTTCTTCTTTCTGGCTTGCCACAATAATAGGGCAATGAATTAAATGCTTGCAGCCACAACTAGCATCACATAAATAAACTTTACAAGACCAGCCTGTATGCTAAACTCCCAATGAAATGCATACCAGTAAAAGAAAAGCACAAAACATCTCAGTTGCATTGATCTTAAGAACGATCCATTGGACTGATGACAGGAAGAACAATATTTTAAAAATGAGTCATGCTTCACCCTTCCGCCAGAAAGAAATCAAAAAATCATTTGGAGGAAATCATATCAAACTCCATTTTCATACATAAATATGACACATCATAGATAGAGCTATGACACAAGTAAAAGTAGGCAATGGTGAACACAGATACCTCCAGGTCTGCAGAATGGCACCATTAACTGACACTATGTACTCAAAGTAGTTCCATTGGACCGACACCAATATTAGAGAACTAATGTTTACTATAATTCTGAATTTGCTAAGTATATCTTCACACAATTTCTCAAGCACTTAATAAAAGTGAAAAGTTTGTTGTGTACAAAAAATCAGATTTTTTTACTAAAGTATTTTTACTAAAGATGTCTCTGTGAATTTACAGAGCCTTTACTGAGTCAGTCTAAGTGAAAAATGATTTCATGCTAAGAATAACAGTATTTCTTTTCATCTTAAAAAAGTTTGCATATTTCATTTGCATAGCTTCTAGAGCCTCCTAAATGAATATCATAAGTTTTTTTTCAGTCAAGATTTAGATTTTATCTTTAATTTCTCTACTCTGCAAAAGTTGAAAACTTTGAAATAAAATAAAATTACCTTTTTTCTTTACTAGAATAACTGTAAATTGTGAGAAACAATCATAATTTTTCATCCTAATAGATTTGAGAATATTAACTGTTTTCATTAAATTTTATTGCTTTATTGCTTTTTGAACCATTTTTAACTACTGTGACATGCATTAAATCACCAGGTGAAATAGCATAATAAACAAACGGATCAGATTGTATCATGCACATCTAACTGCCAAAATGTTCCTTACATGTTACTCGAGGAGTGATAACAAAAATGTTTTTAATTAGTTTTATTTAAGTTTCTTATCTAGCCTAATAAGTTATTAACTTTTACATTTCAGTTTAGAAATTTGGAACTTATATTAGTTCTACATCAGTTTGCACTCAAGCCTGCTTTTGTAAGCCTTTTTTTAATTATTTGTCCTAAAAATAATTCACATAGCTTACAAATATCAATTTTAGGAAACCAGAGAATAACACCCACAAGATTAGATTGAATGAAAACTACTGAAATTTACCTGGCTTTCTAACTAACCTATAAACAGGTTTGAAAATTTTCATTATTTCTTCAGACCAAACAACTCAAGTTCTGATGGCATGTTACTGACTTTTACAGCTCAGATAAAAAGCTGATCATGTGAATTTACTTAGTATAATAATTTCATTTTTTCTATTGGTTATAAACATGTAAAATAGTAATGTCAAAGAGATTTATAAACATTTCTTAAAAGACAAGGGGTATGGTATGGGCATGTCAATGTGGGTTGTACAAATAGTCATATCTCAGTAAAGCAAGAAGTAGTTAAAGATTTATATTCTAGCTTGTCAGTATCTATAGCACATTTCTAATTGGTTGAACAATCTGAAGTGCTTGTAAAAGAAGAGAAAAAAAAATGTCTATGGTAACAGGTGGGGGTAAAAGTGCACATGTTATGACCGTTTACAAAGTTACATTAAAAATATAATTAAAAACACTATTATTAGTGTTATGTCAGTAATCTTAGCATCAAAACAGTTTATAATTCAATTTTTTATATTATCTAAGGTTTAATTTTGTAATTTATAAAGTAAATGTTTAAATAAATTCTGCAACTCTCAGAGTCACATGACTTGATGGCACTGTGATTTCTCACTTAAAGAACTGCAACACACTATAGGGACCATATCTACAATGCTTATATTACGACATTTCAGATTAATGCATAACATTCACACTAAATGTACTAAATTTGTCAACACATTCCTAAATGGAGTGACTTCATGAACTATCACACTTCAATCCCTCAAGAATGTATGTGATGCTGTAAGAAGATGTATCATACGTTGTCAAGTGACTCCTGGAACTATATCCTCAGAACAACTTTTTTCAGAATAGCTCAAAGTTTTAATAACACGCTGTTTTTTAAGCGTGAAACATTAATATCAGGATGCACTTGCTGTTCATGGAGACCACACTATATATTAAAGTGAAATGTCATGAATAGTAAAGATACACCCACCTTTCTGATGATCACTATGAGTGTAGAAAATATCATAAATCTGCTTTTAGGTATCTTTAATTTTAAGAAATTAAAATTCACATGTCTATTCACACAAAAACATTGCATTTGGTGTCTTTAATCTTTTCAACAATAATCATGAACATGAGAACTGCTTCAAAAATATAATTGAACATGTAAATTTGGAAGATGGCTATATCCAGAATAAATTTAATAAGACAACTTTTCTTTATACACTCTTATCCAACTGTATATGTAAACTCACAATTAATCATGTTCAAGATGTTCTGTTTTGATCTTAAATTTTAAAACTTATAGCTCCATATTAGATAAAGCTACTAAAATATTCACAGACATTTCTGAAAACTAAATCTAAATGTTTTAATTATCTAAGTGCAAAATGAGGAATATTAGGAAATTGTTCTTAACCACCTAGCCGAACATGAGTAATTACTGTCACTGAATTTTACTAACTGTTCTGCAACCTCACTGTGAAATAAAATGTAACTCATTCTGAATTTAGTAATTCAATATCACTTTACATAAATAACATTAATAAAGACTTAGCTAGTGTGATGGACCACACTTATTATTAGCTGTAATCCTACTGTGATGCTCTTGACTTGTACTTACTTTAATCCTGTCAGACCAACGAGGACAGTTATTATGATACAGAACTAAGGAATGGTATTCAGTGATGTTCTCATGACCAGCTCCAGGACTTATACTTCCCTTTATGAAAAATCAAGTTAAAAAAGACAGTCATATAACCTATTAACTAAATTATTACTTCAAACAGCTGAACATAATAATCTTTCCTATCTTTTTTATATGAGATAATACTGAAGCTGGGTTTGACTTTTTTTAAATATAAATTTTATAGATTTTAAACATACTGCTTCTTTTTGATTCGGCTTGTTTTGTTGGTTCTAATATATAAGTTTTATCTTAACTTTCAACATGAACTACTACATTCTCATGTTTAGGATCTATTATTGTCACACTACAAGAAACCAGCTATATTTAGCTTCTATAGCCTCTTACTTCTTCAAAACTAGGTTGTTGTTTGTTTTGATTTCTTGATAAAAGAAACGCGTCATCACTTAAAAACAACTTAATTATCAATAAGCACTCCAACAAAATAACAATGACTTTGAACAGTCACGTAAATACTTTATTTCAATTCAAATATAGCTACTAGCTTTAACTCAAACACAACTTTTCAAACAAAGAACAATTATTCTACCCTTTTCTATCTTCAAAAAATTTATTTTCAATTCAACCAGACTTACAATGGCCTCATTTCTTAGCTTAAAATTCTCTAACTTATCAAGAATCACTCTGGCTTTGACTATTTGAGAACTTTCCTTCAGGCTAACTAAAATAATGTGAAGCCTTTACTATTTTCAAGAAGTTGTCCATCACCACAAACCAAAATTAATGCAACTTGAATCCGATTCTAAAAACATCTCTTCATCCCTTGAACTCACCTCCAGAAACTTTCCATCAGCACTGACCAGAATTACTGTAGCTTCTATGTTTTTCCCAGTAGACTTTCCTCCTCTTTCAAAATCTGCCTTCTCAAGCTTTAGGTAAATGTCATTTCGTACATCTCCTGAAACATTTGGTTAGCCATACCAGCAAAAACTTTTATTTGAATAAATTTCAGAATAATAACACTAACGTTGTTTTGAATTATTTTGAAATTTTCAAACCACTTATAAGAAAATATTTGGATATAAAACTCTTTAATATAAGGCTTTATGAAATTTTAGTCAAAATAATGTTCATCAGCTTAGCAACATCTAATCTTGACAAAGAAGAATTTGTTAAAAATCTATCCATTCTACAATACATAGTTATTTGCATTTAATATTTTTCATTTAGCTGATAGCTTGTAGTCATGGTTTACTTTAGTCAGCTTTAATATACATCTTCAAAAATCTATCCATTCTACAATACATAGTTATTTGCATTTAATATTTTTCATTTAGCTGATAGCTTGTAGTCATGGTTTACTTTAGTCAGCTTTAATATACATCTTCATTCATTAAAAAAATAGTTTTTGAGATTATAATTAACCCCAACAACTACTTCATTTTGTTTCTTCACAATCCCCTTGTTTTCTTTACCTGTATGATAACAAATTAATATTTACCTGGCATGATCACATCTGAAAATCCTCGTTTGTAAGTGACAATCAAGTTCCTGAAAAGTAGTGGATTCTCTTGGTGAAGTTGTGCCAAGTCACCATGTAGTAATCTTAATGATAAAATTAATCCTGAAACAAAAATACAATATTATGTAGAATAAATAAATCAACATTTAGCAATCACAGTAACACAATTAATCCTGAAACAAAAATATGTTATTCTGTATACTTAATACATTTTCTTATACTGCCAGCTAGCAGTTATATCTTATCTGTAAAGTTTGTCACAAACAATAACTTTTAGCAATCAACATAAATCAAAACTAAGTCTATTACAGTCTATAATCAGTAACAGAGGTTTGTTAAAACTAAAGCAGTCTTAAAGACTGAGTTTCTTTTATAGCCAAACATAAAGACTCAGTGGCAAAAGCTAATAACACTTGTAGTAATACTACAAATTCATAGTATCTCTACAGACAAGAGGGAAATTTTCAAAAACTCATCTAATTAATTCTACCAGCTGGGAAGCTTAAACGTGTAATGATATAGGACAAATTGCAAATAAAAATGAAATCTTAGTATATCAGTATAAAATAAAATCAGTTGTCAATATTTCTTTTATAATTTTCAAGAAAAGTTTTTCAGTGACAAGAGAACTTGCACCAAGCCAGCAAAAGACAGCATAAATAGTAACACACAATACAGAAACATCAGTAAATGAAGCTAGAGATATTACAAAAGTCTAGAATCACAGCTGAAGGATGAAAGACATGGAAACATTTCTAAATAACCACATAAAATTTAATACAAGAGCTTTCTAAAGCTATTGATCTCAGTCAAAATTAGTGAGAGCATATTATTAAGTTTATCATTCAGTTAAGTTTACCTGAAATAAAAGTACCAGAACAAGTCCCATATTAAATGACAATCATAAGAAAAATTGTTTTCTTAGAGATTTTACAATGCTTTATTTATACAAAATACTCTGAAAATTTCAATCAACTTTTAAAAATATAAACATAAATAAAGCTTTAGCATAATTTAGAATTAGTAAAAAGAAGTATAATTATATAACCATAAGTCAGCAAAATATGGCTGATGTTCTGGTAAATAGTAGCTGAAAGACTTATCTAGACATTCTTAATAATATTAAAAAAACAAAACTTCCAATCAATATTCTTGGAAAAAAGAATAAATCAAATTATAGTCTCATCTCAATAAATAAAAACATACAACAAGCATATTATAACTATTAACTTTTTAAAAACTCAATTTTATGGCTGTAAACTCTACAACAGGCAAAATAACAAACTTCAGTTTCAATGCACATGTACCAGGTTATTACATTAAAATTACGGAAATGTTTTTTAATATTCATCCATAATGTCTTAAATATTTCACACCTCATAGTGGTAAAAGGTTCCATTTGAAACGTTAATAAATACTAAATTAAACACAATCACATCTTATAAATATTATTTAAAAAATATATTATATTTTGTTTTCCAATAAATCTTAACTTGCCACTCCAACAAAGAAATTTTGAAATGTTCCTTTGCAGAATCTCTATATTTTTCACATGAAAAATGACTTTTTTTGTTTTTCAAAATAATTCCAATTCTTACAAAAAATTATGTATACATTATTTTTAATCTTTGTAAGATATTAAAGGATGAATCCACTATATTGATAGCAATGAAAGCTGAAAAACTACATTCTTCTCTGACAGGAACATCACATTCGCTTTGTGCAAGTCCAAAAACATGTGAGCTGTTATAAGTCTATATACATTCAGAGTGAAAGTGATGCTGTTATTCAAAGTGATCGTTTTAGTTTGTTTGTTCTTTGTGTAGCTTCCACTGAGCAAAGCCTGTCTATTACACATCCTTTTTCCAATCAAGATGCTAATGCCAGTTATTAATATGCAGGAGTCCTTCTGCAATATTTTCTATATTAACTTGGACTCTTCTAAGTACTACCTGAACAAATTAGGAGAATTTAAAATGTCAGTTTTAATTGTAATAAGCTCTTCTACAAGGTAATCCCTAATTAGCCTATTGAGCAATTCTTTTAACTTTATCGCCACAAGTATCCTTTACTGCACAAGACACAAGCATTGCTCAGCCAAACCATAATTTTTATACCCTTCAATTTTGTTTGGTTACAGAGCTATCAAATAGAAAATTAGACCCCTGTTGCCACACCCACCTGTCACATCCTCTATTTCAGGATTTGTTAATAGTTCTCACATTTAATTATATATTACCTATAACCAATAGGAAGCGAAGATTTTCATCTATCAAATGACGTATTGTACAACATTGTGTTCTGAAGAGATAATCCTAAATTTCACTTATAATACAAACTTAGTTCACACAGAATCACAATAGCTAGTTTGGATGATTTTGTAATGGCTCTTGTCACATAATTAGAAAGCCAGAAAAATTGTGACTGTCAGAGGAAGTTGTCTGCTTTCTGAATGTTATTATTCTATGTTCTTTGGTGCATTATTTAATGAACTACTACCATTAGTATAAAAAAGTAGGGTTTGGTGTCATCAATAGTCGACAGCAAAAAAAAAAAAAATGGCTCTTGTCACACACTTAAAAGGCCAGAAAATTTTTTCTGGTTTTCTAACTATGCCTTTAAAGAGCCTTTACAAATTAAGCTAAGATCATCATTGTGATTCCCAGGAGAACAAATTTGAAACTGAATTAAAAAAACACAATGCCCTGTACAAAAAATAACGTAATATTAAAACTATTGATTATAATATATATAAATTGCTTTCTATTGATTATAAATAATATTGTATAAAACATTGGAGGGAACTATTGGAAACTTGTGAAAGAGAGGATGTGATAGGTGGGCATGGTAAGTGGGTCTGATTTTCTAGTTTATGACTCTGTAAACAAATACAATTGAAAGTTATAAGAATTATCCATTGCCTGAGTAATATCTAGACTAGATGTACTTCTGCAGGGTCTCCAAAGGTGTTCTGTCTCAAGAGTAAATAAAACTACAAATATTTTTATTTCTTGCTAATAAAGTTCATACATCATGCTGTGTTGTAGCCTACAGAGTTCATAATTCTTTTTGTGATTCATGAAATGTGCACATTTTACTGACGTCATGACATTACAAATTGCAACATTAAGCATCCCTGAGAATCATTTCAATGTCTACTGACTGACTGATTGACAGACAACACACTATTGTATATTGGCATGACTGGTTAAAACAGATAACCCCTCCAAGCAGCCTTCAGCCCTCTTTCAGGTAAATTATAATGAGTAAGTTACATTAAGTTCCATACTCCTCAAAGAAATGGTATATAAATTAGAGAAGAGGAAAGACCTAGAGAGCAAATGTCACAATTCTCATATTAGGGGAGACTGAGGATTTTTTTAAATCTCTCCTTATAAAACTAAGAACTTAAAACTTATATAATATTAAAAATTGATTTATTAGCTATGTTTTGATGCCAAGTTTATTTGTATACAATGATAATAAAGTAGTTTAACTAAATTTTGAATATTACTCTAAAAAGTCATGCAAGCACTTTTTGACCTGCCTGTAGTGAAAGGGTTAATACTGTTTTTTTTTGTTTGATATATACAAATAAATAACATTTCCTTTCATCTTAATGTGTTGCGTGTTATTAATTAGTGCTACATGAAAGTGTAATTAGAATTGCAGAACATAACACAGAATTGTATAAAATACAAATAAACATGATAGCAAAAGTGACTGCAGCTATAAATTTAACCAAGCATTAATAAGTAAGAATTTGTTGGAAACCTTACAAGAAAAAATATCATAGCCAGTTCACAATCCACAAACTACTTATTACAACCACCAATGCATGGTGCCTCATTCAGAAGTACAATGACCATAAGGCATGAATACAAAACCAAGAATTAAATCAAATATGTTCATTATTTATGCCTTTTCCATCACATGGATGTGTGAATGCATGGCAGCAGTCCAAGGATAAATACAAGAGCGGTGTCTTTAATATTAATGTCAAAGGAGCTGGTGGTTCTTTCATGGCCTTGGCACCATTTTGTGGACCAGGACTTGGTTCTATAACTCCTGTGAAAAGCAGGTTACAAACAAATACCCATCTGAGAATTCTTGCTTACCCTTACCCACAACAAACTGTTTTCATCATGATGAGAATGAGTTGTTCAAGGATGATAATGCATCCATATTTATTGCACAATATGTTCAAGAGCAGATTGTATATCATAGAATGACTTCAAACAGCTACCAAATTTTGTGAAGATGCACTTAATACAATCATAATTAAAGTAAACATCATAATGTATAGCTTCATAGATGCATGTTAGTGCAAAGTAACATTTCCATTCACATAATGTTAATGTTATCCAATTTCCTAATCTTAATCCTATGAATATGATGGTGGTCAAATTGCAAATATCATAACTTTTTTTTGTGTTACAGAGTACATTAGAAATTGAAACAACTTCATAATCAATGTAGGTCAACAAATTTGGTACAAAAACAGTTTATAATTCAATGTATCATATCATCTAAGTTTTAATTTCTTAAGTTCAAGAGGCAATATCTGAATAAATTCTTAATCTTGACTTCTGTGTGTTACACGATGCATCTCCCCTTTGATTTTCTTATTTTCAATATTCTTTGTTCCCTTCTAAGGCTGTCAGAGAGGCCCACCAGTCTGAAACTCAAACTATAGGTATTGACCAGTCAGAATATAAAATTACAATCCTCCACATTCTCAAACTCATTAGATAAAAATCAATTTGTGACACCCACCATTCAGAATGTTCCCATCTTGTCATAGCTTTGAACAAATTTATCTATACTGCATGACCTTCTTTTATAGACATGATTATAACAGAATAAGAATTTTGTCCCTTACAAGAAGTTTCTGATGGTTATTTGTTTTTAGTGCACAATTATAGGCAGTTTGCCTTAGAATTTTTATGTGTGATCCTTATTGTTGAGCTCCCAGTGGGTAACGTAATATTTTTAATCTATTTGTAGATTAGTTAGTTAGTTAGTTAACTTACAGTAGTTTTAGAACATTCTATATTTTGTGCATGATAATGTTTTGTGTTGCAACTTCCTTATCTGATATAAACACTTAAACTATTATGGACCACCAACATCATTGCAAAAAAGTAGGCTTACGGTGCTTCATCCATCAAGAATAAAAAATCCAAGTTTAAATGGGTAAGTACTAAATTTCTTGTTTTTATTAATATCATTTGTTTATTTTTATAAAATAACTAAAAAATAAAAACTATAATTTGCTAGGTTAGATGAAAAACTTAAATAAAATAACAGACTAAATAGAAAAAATTTCACATGACATTCAATATCCTATCACACGAAGGTATGTGAGGCACGTTTGTAATTCATTAGTGTCGTGCTTGTAACTCAATTGCTTGTTTACACAAAGGTGTCCAGCTGTAGTAAATGACATTCAGCATACTCTAGGGGAAATCTAAGTGCAAGTGAAAGCAATGAAAGTAAATGAACTCAGATCTGAAAAGACTATTAGCTTTAGCTGTAAAAACAAATATGGTTACAATATGAAGTCATTCTAGAAAAATAAAAAAGGTAATTTAGATTTATTTCATATTTTTCTTCTTCTTATTTTACCTACATTGGTGATTTCAAAACTGTTAGTCTTAGGATAGAGAAAATAACAGATAAAATAAAAAGTCTTACTGAAAAAATGGCTTTTGATATTAATTTTGGAAGTTCTAGATATTACACAAATGAGTGAAAATTTTAAGATGAAAAAAGAATTTTTATTCTTAACATGAAAATCACCCTGCATTCAGACTAGTAACAGTGAGACTGACTCCGTAAATTCACAGATGAATCTGGAGTAAAAATATTTTATCGAAGATTCTGATTTTTTGTTTACAGCATACTTTAATGTTTACTAGAAGTCTACCAAATTTACGTGAATATGTACATTCATAACCAAACTTTGTTATGTACAGTTCATAAAAAGTATGTCAGTGCAAAGCACCAAGGCAATTCAAGGTGTATCTGATATAGATAACAAAGTCCTGGCTTTACTTATTAAAGTTTTCATCCAGTTAGTATTCCAAAATTAAAAATCTTCATCTGATAAGCACTTACCATAGTTAGGCTGCCCTGAGAGAAGATTATATTTGTTGTTTTGCTTCCTGAAGATGAATTCATGAAGTTGATGAAAGTCTGACTCATGACATCTACATATACAATGAGAAAGACAAGAAAGAAATATTAGACATTCATACCTGGACACAGAAACCTAGATATTCTTAAGAACTAAGCAATCATTGAAAAACAAATAAAAATATAAATTAGTATATGATTATTAACTCTTTCATGCGCGACATATACGGCATAATACGATCTTGATCAGAGCAGGATTTAGTGGCACAATTCTAAATATTACGGTCCTGTTGTACATGGTTCACAATTAAATTTTCCATGTACTAAGAATTACTTTCATGTTATACAATTTTGGCACAACCAGTATCTACTTGGTGTAAAATATCATTATCTATTTGGGTACTGGTATCTAATGAATTATTAAATATTGTTTTTCTTTTGTGGTTAACACTGGTAGTGAATTTAATAAGCATATCTATGGACTTAAGTACACCTAAACTGCCAAAGAACCTTTATGATATACTTAAACACATCTTGCTTTTTTGCATAAAACTTGATAGTAAGAAACAAAACCATCTGACCACATCTCTGTTAAGTCTCCAAATGTAGCTTAAGTGGACATTGGTGCCTTTTGGCCTGCTTAACCAAATGTGCATGAGGTCAGACCACTGGATCAACCCTATTATCAGAGAAGGTATGTTGGCTACAATTCCAAATTTATGCTCATATCTACACAACATGTGGCAAGCTATAAGTAAAATGTACAAGTCTCTTATACATACAAAATCAGATGTGTTACAAAAGTATTTGTACTCAAGATAT